TTTAAAATTAGTTATAAATCTAAGTGCACCATGGTAAACAGTATACAATGCATGCAGACTTTGAGACGAAGCATGCATATAGATAACATCACCTTAGTCCAATGTCAGTCATGTCAATATAGAGCAAAATCCTCAATATGGGGAAATATTTCCAGTATCTTGTTGATTCTATGCCATGAAGGATGAAAACAGTTCTGAAGGGAAAAGGGGTTCAACCCTGTACTAGTAAGGTGTACCTAATAAAGTGGCCGATGGGTGTATAATAATAATAATATAAAATTATTTAACCTGATATTCTTTTAGTTTACATCAAAGTGAAACTGCATCTGCTCTGTTAACGCAACAGCAAATGCAGAATAATCAGAGCTATCACTTTCACATTCACTTTTTATCCATACTTACTTTAACTGTCAAACTGTGTCTCTCTAGCATCTGCAGGCATTACAGATGAATCCTAACACTGACTTTATTTTATTATATTTAATGTGTGTATTGACTGAATCAGCATAACACTGATGAGGAGCTCTGAGTCTGAAAATACTGCTTCACAATTATCTGATTTGAAATGAGGCATCTGAACAGTTTCTGGAGACTTCTAGAGCAAAAGCAGGAGACTTAGAAAGAGCACAATATAGACTGTGTGTTTGTGTGTGTGTGTGTGTCAGTTCTGCTGCAGATAACGCTGGATGTGCCGAATCAACAGTTCCTGCTGTTCATCCTGGACCAGATTCACTCACGGGTGTGAACACACACAATTTTACACACACACAAGCACACACATAAGCAAACATACACATGCTTTGCACACACATACACAAACAGAAAGGCACACTCGCTCATGCACACACACACACACACACACACACACACACACACACACAAACACACATATAATACACACCACACACAGACACGCACACATTCACCCACTCACAATCACATACACACTGCAGACACACTTACATACAAACACACACACACACACACACACACACACACACACACACACACACACACACACACACACACACACACACACACACACACACACACACTGCATAGACACAGCACACACATTTAAACACAAATACACACACATGCATGCACACACATACACACACACACAAGCACACACATAAGCAAACATACACATACTTTTTACACACATACGCAAACAGAAAGGCACACTCACTCATGCACACACACACATTCACACACACACACACACGTACACACACACACACACACACACACACACACAAACACACACAAACACAATACACACCACATACAGACACGCACACATTCACTCACTCACAATCACATACACACTGCATAGACACACATACATACAAACACACACTGCATAGACACAGCACACCCATTTACACACAAATACACACACATGCGCACACATATTTACACACAAATACACACACGCACACACACACATATAAGCAAACATACACATACTTACCACACATACCCAAACACAAACAGAAAGACACACTTACTCGTACACACAAACAAGCTCTCACACATACACACACTCACATACACACCACACAGACAGACACACACATTCACTCAGTTACAAAAACATACACACCGCACATACAAACACACATACACACTGCATAGACACATCACACATACACTCTCCAAAACACTCTCACACACAAACAGAAAGACAAACCCACCACACTCACAGAATCACACACACACATCGTACAGACGCTTATACACACATCATAGACAAAACAAACATACACTCTCACAAACACTCTCACACACAAACAGAAAGACAAACTCAAACACACATTTACACACAATTACACAGATACGCACATAAGCAAACATGCACATATTTACCACAAACAGAAAGACACACTTACTGATACACACACACTCACATACACACCACACAGACACAGATACACACCACACAGACACAACACACATACACACTGCATAGACACTCTCACACACAAACAGAAAGACAAACTCACCACACTCACAGAATCACACACACACATCGTACAGACGCTTATACACACATCATAGACAAAACAAACATACACTCTCACAAACACTCTCACACACAAACAGAAAG